GAATCTCAAATTTCCCTCCTTTCCCCCGCGTTCCGGCCGTCGCACTATCGCCCGACGGCTGCGCAAATTATGCCCAGCCGTCGAGCGACCTGTGTCTCCTCTGTGCGCACGCGTCGAGAGGACGTCGCTGAACGGCCAGTCCTGGGAGAGCGCGCGCCCTGGCGTCGACGTCCGGGCATCCGTACGTGTAGTTACGAGCATGTACAGAACACATATGGAATATACGTCTTACGGCACACACCGCCGTACCGAACGCTTGCGTGAACAAGCGCGTCCATCAAGCGGGTGCTCCGAGTCGCCTGCACGTCCGAATGTCGGGAGGGCAGCCGCTGGGAAGCACCGTTCAATCGCCCAAGAGCCGTTTGGCCGCAGGGCGTCATCGTGCACCCCTCCGCCGTGCGTGCTCGCCCAGGCTGCGGAAGCCGTGTGGATCGTGCAAGGGTGGCGTGCACGACGTGTCCGACTCCCTCAGGCGCTGAGCCGTCACCTCGAGGACGAGATGGGCGTACCAGCCGCGTCCCTCATCCGACGGCCTCGAAACAAGCTGTGGATTGCTCTCGAGTGCGAGGGGCACCCAGAATGGCCAGAGCGCACCCGTGCAACATGGTGTCTGCACCGTGAGGGGGCGATTTCCTGCAGGAACGCGCTCAACCTGACCAAGAATGCGATTCCGTCTCGCAATGCGCCTCCGTTTGACAGGCAAATGGGAGCTACACGACCTAGGCATCGCTCTGCGACAGCGAGCACACTTTTCGGGAGGATACAATGCCGTCTTGAATTCCGCCGTTTTGGCCGATTTCATGGCTACCGGGCGAAAACGTCGTCCCCCGCTTTCTGCGCTCGTACGACGGCCGGGGAACCGTCTGGAATGCATTACAACGCGCTTTCCGCACCGAACGCGTCCGGATTCACCGTCCACGGATGACTTTTGAAATCGCGCACTTTTGGGCGATTTCCTTGCATCCGAAAGTGCGCATGCTCTCCTGCACTGTCTGTGCGTTCGGACGCCGCGGAAACGATGCAGAGCCCACAGGTACACATATGCTACTCAAGCAAACTCTTTCCCCCGCGCAGCGAGCTGCTTTGAAATTATGCATTCCGATCGGGTCCATGGGCGCCGGGCTGGTACTTCGAGGACGAGATGGACGTACCGGCCCCGTCGCTCGTCCGACGGCCTCAAAACAAGCTGCAAACCGTTCTTTTCTGCCAGGCGTACCTGGGACATCCATTCCGCGTCCGTGCGACACAGTATAGCAGGCGACAGGCGACATCTCGTGCAGAATCATGATACAGGAAATCCGACTGAATCTGCGAATTCACCTCGCGGCGAGCCTGCCCACGGTGGGAGAACGGTACAGGCTCTACCGGTGCACGGTTACGTTGCAGAAAACACACACGCTTTAGGACAATACGGAGCGTTTCTTCGAAATGACAACATCGTCCCCAGCCTCGTGTACGCATGCGACGGCCTCGGAAACGGCTCGCACTACGCGTGACACTCCCGTACAACGTTCTCATGCCTTTTTCGCAGGCTGGGAAACATGTTTGGCAATTTCTGCCGAGGCAGGATTGCTCGCACCAGGCGGGACCTCGAGGTAAACATGCTCACAACATCTGCATTTCGCTGCGGTGTCTATCTTAACACTTATTACATACTACTACATAGCTAGACGAGTCCGGAAAACCGTCGTGGTGAGTGGGGACACCGAGAGCAAATCGAAATAAGCATTCCGACGACACCCTCGGCAGCCGTGTTCACGAAGCATGGAGAGCGCCTCGTTGGCCTTCCGAGATGACGTGGCTCGCCAGGCTAATGCAGACACTGCCACTGTGGTATGTAAAGCTGTTAATATATCTCTGATGAAATCTCGAAGAACTGACTTGCCTTGACGACGTGGCCCGCGGTGTTTGTCAATAGGTGAGTAGTCACATAGCTTGTAGGTCCACGGCCGGAGATCAGGAACTCCGGTAGATGGCGCCGTACATATCGGCTGCCCTGTAGCTGTAATTGTGATCGTGTGCAAGGGCTCGCGACCGGTGGCAAGCTTTGTGAGTCCAAGCAGAGACTTGACATTTTGGACCACTGAGCCCCAACCCTCCTAATCCCGTTCTGTGCCCAGCCCTCTGGTTCTTCGAATACGTGCTCGCGGATATAAGCCCAGATGTGGGCGATGCCCTTATGCAGTGGTTCACCGACCACTTGTCCGATCCCGGTGCGGTGCTCGGATACAGCGTTTACGAGATGTTCGCCCTCGAAAACTCCTTCGGGAGGGTCGCGCTAAACAATCTGAGGGTGAGCTCGCACGCCAAGTATGTCCGCAGTCCCGGTACAATGATGCGGTTTAGAAAGCCCAGAGCATCACATAGCCTGGTGCTCAACCCTGCCCGATCTTCGCCTCGCACTGGCAACGGCTTCCTACAGCACGGCTGGGAGTTATCTCGGATGGTGACATTGGAAGACAAGCGGAGGCATTGCAGCCGCGAAAGCGCACATTTTCGCGTTCACATCCGTGCTAAAGCATGGTCTCTTCCGGAATCTGCTCAACTTGGGCCGGACGCCGCGCTACGGTTCGTGCGACTCGCCCTGGCAGGAATGCGCCCAGCCCCATCTCAAGTTGGGAGGTTGGACTGACTGACGTGCCAGAATATCCCCGCTGGAGATCTGGGATGAGATCAACGTGCTTGAGCTCATCGTTGCCCATTACGCGATCACTTGGGGGCGAAGCTGCCTCTGATGCTGTGGCCTTGAAGGTGGAGTGGTCGGTATGGAGTCTCGGGCAAAAAATGACAGACAGGGAAGGGTGTGTTAGTAGATAGGTACATTATCCAACAAGTACAATTCTGCGGCCGCGTTGGGCAGGGCGAGATGCTGGCCACGCACCCTTTAGAAATCAGGGCCTATCTTGAAGCCGGCTGACGATCCACCTCCCCAGCAAGTCACCGCCCTTTGTTCTTGTTCTCCGTGATCGTCTCCTCATGCGGAATCAGCGTCTGGGCCTGTCCTCTTGCGACCTCCACGTCAGGCAGCTTGAATGCCTCCGCAAACTTCCTGTCGCGAACGGCGTGCTCGTGAGGACAAGGAGCGGCGTATTGAACACAGTAGTCACCCACTTATGCAGGTCCAGCTGCCACTGTCTTCTGTGTCCCTGCGCCCTTGGATGGGAGATGGTGGAGGTGGTGATGCCGGCCGAGCAGTGACCAAAGTAGACATGCCTGAGGCGGCCATTGCAATGCCGGCAAAGGTAAAGCGGACAGCGATGGGCACTGAGGACGTCGGATGAAGGGTGTGGGTGTGAAGGTAAGTGTGAGGGAGGAGAGGGAGAAGATTGTGAGCCAGCGGAAGGTGCTCGAGAGCGATGGCATTGTGGGAATGGTCAGTTGACGCACGGTTCGTGAATGTAACGTACCTTGTAAGCTTGGACGGCGTACGAGCCAAGTTGTTGAGCGCATTTCTACATGTTCTAGCTGGCTTGAAAGGGTGAAAATAAGGAACACTGGAGGCGGCGGGCAATGGATGGTTGTGGTGGGATGATAGCCGCACGACGTCGGATGTAAGCTTGCTGCGCTCTCCACCTGTCTGTCGCCCTCTTGCCGGCCTTTCCTCTCTGCTCTTGTGCTTGCTAACAGTGCAGTCACCTTTTCTACATTGCTCGCCGCTGCCAACGGCTGCTTCCATAATGAGCACAACTCAGCGCAACTCTGGCTCGCTCTTGCTCGCCTACCTGCATTATCTGCTCACTACCTTACACCGCCTGCTCGCCCAAGACTAACAAGGCATTAGAACCAATTACATATGTAGCAGATGTGAGCCGTGCAGTTCATCCACGGTATTCACACCTGTGTCTACTTCCGCAGTATCGCTTCCTATCGCCCCGTGTCTCCTTGTACCGGCCGCTGTACCTAATCTCCATCACATTGCATTCACGGTCACTGTCCCAGGCGACCCTGTCCAATCGCATTTCCTCTCTGCCCCATTTTGCGACCCTGTTTTCTGTACATACAGGATCCGGCTCGAAATTACGTTGGCTGTCGGCTGGAAGTGCTAATGGTCAGTGGCCACCGACGCGCGTCGCAATCCGAGCACATCGCAGTGCAAAACCACTGGCGGCCTCACATCCTTCATGATCTCGGCCCATACGGGCAATTCAATCATCACCACCTGCGGTTTCAGTGTTATGCGCGGTCTCTAGTCGTCAACATATTCAAGGGCGGCAGGATGCCGTCCCCTTAGGCGAGCATGGGAACATGACAAGACACAGCCTGGGACCTTTGCCGCTGTACGTACGGCATGGCAACAAATCATCAGTCTCGGACGCGGACCTCGTCTGAAAAGTCCGCTAATGGTGTGCGGTGTTGCGTGCAGACACAGCCGTGGGCAATCAGATGAGTCCGTGGCAGGGACCATATCACCCGATCGCCATGTTTTGCGGTTGCACCAACAGATTGTGCAGGCTATAATGCCAGTTGGTGCTGGTACGCTGGAACGTGGGTGGTTGGTGCACATAGCTGTAATTACACACAGTTACTGAATGAACGGATGAATGATTCTGTTCCGACGTACGCACCGAAGCCTCGAGTGACATGAGCGTCTGTAGACTCGCTTGGCTCACCCTGACTCCGCTTTCAAATATGATCATCAAGCAACAACCACTATATTCCGCCGTGCACCGCCGATGAGCCTGACAAACATTCGATACCGGCAATATATCGTAAGAACTGAGTACTATGCACCCTGCCGATGGCGAGAACATTTTCTTGCCAGCCGTTTCCCGATGGTTACCTGCGTTGCTTTTTCGGGTCGTCTGGTGCTCAATCGCCGTGCCCCCACTCGCACGTACCCTCGTACCATGTCTAGCTTGCTAGTTGACCTCCTACTCCGTCCAAGAACCCCCCTCCCTCCATCGATACGACCCAATACCGGGCAATGAAGACATACCGCAGTGACGAAGTGAGTTGCAGCGCTGCACCGTCACCATCGCTCCCTTTGCTGTCCGTCGCGTCTCTGAAGATGGCATAACCCTTTCCTGCAATATTGGCCAGGCTCTCGACATCGCCTCCGAAGAGAACACGGCCAGGTCCGCCGCCGCCGCCGCCGCCGTCTGCTCACGGGCCATCTGTCTCACCACCGCTCACACCTGCCTCAGCCGCTTCGAGCACATCGCAAGTGCACTCGCGGCCGCGTTCATTCACGCTACGACTGCCGTCGAAGATTTTGGTGCTGAAATCTACTCTGATACCGCTCAGCCCGCAGCGCACGGGATCGGCGTCGTCCGAGCGCGACAAAGGCTCTGCGGGCAGCGGAGCGTCCAGACGGTTCACGTTCCCAGTCGGCGGCATTTCGAAGACCTCGCCCGGGTCGCTCAGCATCTTCGACAGCTAAGCCAAGGCCTGTCCTCGCCGGCGCGGCTATCACCGCCGATGATCATCGAGCTGGCCGAGGAGGTCTGGGAAAGATGATGCACGGTCTCAGTGAAGCTGGCGCGCTGGCAAGAGATGGGCGACCCACGAGCAGCTCCCCGCAGCAGAGTCGCTCCGCCGCGGAGTCTCCAGCGGTCAAGAGGATGCTCAGCGAGCGCTCGCCATACTTGGTTTCGTCCGCAACGGCGGGACACCGAATATCTTGGCGAGCCAGACGCGAAGTGATCACGTACCTCGTGCCGTTATATCAGAGCGTGCGGATTCGGTATCGATGTCCGTGTCACGGCGGGCCCGGGGTGATCATGGCGGGTACCTCGGAGATGGCAGTTTGGTAGGGGCTCAAGATTTTTGGGCGTACTTCTCTATGCACGACATTGTCTAGGCCCACCTAACACGTCCATATCCTTCACAGCCATCGCTCGCATGCTTCGTCTCTGGCGGCTGACAACACGCCCCACCAGAGGCCTTGCATTCTCATCCATCATGGCTCGCTGGCAGCATTCGTGAGGATCGCTGCACGACACGCTGTCTGTCACATCTAGGTCATCAGTCGTGCGCTCGCACTTGGCACAACCAGGGATTTTGCCGCGACGCAACTCGCGGCTCCTTGTCCAACCTGGTGGCAGTCGTATCTGAGCTCCCTCACGGTCCCTGCGTTGCTCTACTGTTGAGTGTCCGGTGGTCGAGAAGATGTGTAGCGCGAGCACCACAAACGCGACGAAGCGGCGGATGGCCAAGTCCGGCAGATCCCTCGCGATCTCGTCGACCGCGACCAGGTCCTCGGTGACGTCTGCCCGGTCAGTGCTGATCCAGAGCGGCCGCCCGGCATTTGGTACACGAAGGGAAGTCGGACGCAGGAGGTCTGGGCTTTTCCTGGAGCGTGGCGATCGACGACGTACCCGTTTTTAGACAGGGACAACGGCTGGGGTCATCACACGCACGAGAGGACAAAAGCGTGTGGGGTACCTGTCCTTGAAGCTGTCTGCGAGGGCGATCGCGACCTGCGGGACTGCCTTGGTGTGTTCAGCCGCTCGCGTGTCTTGAGCCGGGGATCTAGCCATGGCAGGGACGCGGAAGTGGCTGGCAGGGACGAGGGGAAGGCGGGCTGGTGGGGCGCGCCGCTACTTGGTATGGACGCAGGCGAGTGCAACGGCGGGGTATACTGAGATGGTACGTACCTTTACCAGAACGACGTCTGCGCTAATGAGTTCGCTTGATTGACTTTCATTCTCTCCGCAGATGCTGGCTGCCGCCGCTGGGATGGCGTTGGTACAGGTACGTGGGGGGCGGTCTTGCTTCCCGGGACCTGAGATCGAGCAAGCGGGGCGGAAACAAGGGTTATAGCAGTGCGCGCAATGGAGGATGAACCAGACTTGGTGAGAAACACAAGACGCGGCGGCGCGAGTCGGACGAGGTGGTGGCGGACAGAGAGCGAGTCGCGCGTTAGATAAGCGCCCGAGGTGTACGGCGACTTGTTCGCTGCTGCCGCCGCTGTCCGAGTTTGTTGCCCTTCATTTTTCACTCTCGAACTCTGCTGGACGCGTAAAGAAATATATTGATGTATTCTACTGTACTGTACACGCTCTAAAGAACACGACCCGTCTGTCTGCCTTGCCTGACTCTACCAAAGTCGCAAATGGCATCACCCGGTGCCCCCGGTGCCCCCAGTGCTCCCCCAGGGCCCCCCGTGCCCTTCAGCACCCAAATCCACGCTTCAGAACCCAAATAGACGTCTGTGTCACTGTTTATCGCTGGTGCATCTTGCATCGGCTAGACTTGGCCACAACATCCATCCCAGCAGCAGCGCCCACAGCTTGCGTGCATCTGGTACGTTCACGGACCGCTCCCGGTGAATTAGCAATCTCATAAGGGATTACAGGATTCTCGATTGGTAGGTGCTCGTATCATAGCAATTCAGACACGCTTACAGAGGGAAACGTTTGGGGACGTCCCTTTCAGCCGGAACAGTAGTAGCGTCTGTCGCTGTTCCCTCTGCGACCTTGCGCCTATCCGCTGATCCAGTCATTACGCAGCTTCAAACTCCATATTTTCACACAATACGAGCATTACTACGTGAGCATTGGGGCTATCCTCTCGCTTCCGCTTTGCTGAAGGTATGATTAGTGGATGGACTCCGCTGCATGCGCAGCAGCCGTTGCCGCCGATGCTCTGACCACTAGCGTCCTCACCATCACGCTCAGACAAAGCCGAACCGGATATAGGCAGTACGTTTGACTTGCATCTGGACTGCCGCATGTGCTGACATCATTGGAGCACTGACACGTTGTTAGACCGCTTGGTGCTGTATACTATCAACACTGGTAATGCTGTTGCTTTCCTCGAACCTCGCATGTCATCTGAGCCATCACCTTGATAC